GTGTGTGCGTGCGTGTGTATATGTACGTGTGTGTTTGAGTTTACATACATGTATACTATCTATAGGCATGTGCATGTATATGTATGTGTGTGGGTGTTGGAGTGTGTGTGTGTGTGTGTGAGTGTGTGTGTGTGAGTGTGAGTGTGTATGTGTGTATATGTTTTGCTCCCGGGTATCCAATATCTCTAAGTTTACCACTACAATGCTTCTTGAGTTCTGTGGATTGCAGCTTTGAAAGTCGACACTAATTTTGGTTTACCATCTAAACAGCCAACATGGACTTAAATAACCAACTGGGACTTAATCAGGTTACCAAATATACATAGTTGTTTCCCAATAGGGTTTTTTTTTTTTTCAAATGCAAAACGTGTCACTACATTGGCTTACGGAAACGGGGTGAGAGCAGCGAACTGTGAATAACTTTACATCTGGACCTTATTCGTATTTTTAAAATACCACGTCTTCTTGCCAGATTTCACAGAAAACAGACTGTCACTATGCATTATGTAGGGGCATACAAGGAAATGTAATATGAGAAAAATTTTCCACGAGAACAAATTGCTGAAGTGGGGGGGGGGATTCTGGGTAAATTACTATTTTCATTTTATGACCTTGATAATGTTCCAATATCCATGGAGAAAAAAAAACGATGTGCCTTTTCCTTTTTACAATAATTGGATTTCACAATATAGGCTTGAAAAACAGAAACAGGCATCCTTCTGTGTCCTTAAGATATCCTTCAGAATATGAGAACCCAGTGTTCTTTTCTTGAAACCTGATCTATTTTTACACTCTTTCAACCCTTAATCAAAGGCTCTAGCCCACCCGTTTATTTGAGGAACAGGAGACAAACAGGACATTCAGGGAGGCTGCTGAGTATGTTGTTGTCTCTTGCCCTCGGGCAGAAATCATTACGCTTTCGCTGGCCTGGCTGTGGTTCTGCAATCTTATGTAGTTCAATTAATGATTCTCCATCATCTTGGAATCAGGGTTTGCTGTCGTTTCTAGAGAGATGTATATACCTTTAGCGATCAGTTGTTATTATAAAAGAATTGGGGATTGCCGAGGCAATGGAGAACTCTTTATGTCAGCTTCATAACTTACATCCGTAATCAATATTGTGTACCATCATAATCAACAACAACAACAACAACACTAATAACAGCAACAACAATACTAGTAACATCATCAACAACAACATAACAACAGTAGCAGCAACAACAACATCAACTTATACTACTACTACTACTACTACTACTACTACTACTACTACTACTACTACTACTACTTATAATAATAATAATAACAAAATGAGAACAAAAACAAGGAAAAGACATGCATAGTTGGGAAAGTGCTCGAGTTCCCTGCTCTCAGAGATCAAAACGCCTGCATCTTTCACGAGGAAAGAGGACCTCAGTCAACAGATATACCACTGACACTACTGCTTCCTTTCAAGGTGAAGTATTGTGGCATGGTTCAAGTTTACTATCATGTTTCTGAATACACAGAATCGAAAGTATTGTTTAGGTCAATTCCGCTTTTGGTTTACTGAGGTTGTGTGTGTGTGTGTGTGTGTGTGTGTGTGTGTGTGTGTGTGTGTGTGTGTGTGTGTGTGTGTGTGTGTGTGTGTGCTATATTCCCCAGTGAATACATTTAGGAAGACCGTCTGGGCCAAAAAGTTTCCCTGTTGAGGTGAACACACGGACATGTGGCAATAGCCTGATAACTAGCATGAAAATGACGAAATTGAGGGCCTCTGGTGAGAGCCAGCAGGGTTTAAGTACGTGTAAAGACCCACTCACAACTCATGGTTTAAGTACGTGTAAAGACCCACTCACAACGGAAGGCACAGCTCCCTAAACCTTGTCAAACACACAGCTGTAAAGTCTCCGCGGGCTCCTGTAGACAGGATTTGACTGTTTAACAAGGCGTCAAATTGTTTGGGCCGTTGCCTTTTCGGCTTACTAACCTGTGGGCAGGCCGGAAACAGTTTTTGACATGCCGTTCGCTCCCTCCCAACAGCTCTCTTCGCAATCTTAGAAAACAACAACAGACCTCCCTCCACTTAACCTCCATTGTCTGCTTAAAGCCGGGAGCGCTTGTGACTCACGGCACAGCGTGCCTCTCAAACGCTAGTCATTTGCACACTAGAGTCTAATTATCTCCACTCCTAGCTGTCACAAAGGGGACATATTCAAAGCTTCCCGTGATAACCGTTATGTTGGGTACTTGACCATAGGCCACTTCAGGCGTCCCTAAAACCCAAAGCCGGTTGTTGTTGTTTTTGTTGGTTTGTGCTTTGGGGGGAACGGCGGTTGTGCATGCGTGCGTGTTTTTTTTAATTTTTTAATTTTATTTTATTTTATTTTATTTTTTAATTATTTTTTTTAGGGGGGGGGGGTAAAGGAGCGAAAAAACTTCTTTGGATGGGAAAAGTATATAAACGTAGTTGTTACACTAATTGTGTTTTAAGAGGTGGGCTTTTATTACAAAAAAGTCACTACTGCAAAACGAGACAAGACACGCTGGTCTGGGATTTTTATTTTTTAAATGTTGATTGTGTTTCTTGACCTGAGATCTCGATGTATAATTTGAGGACAAATTTTATCACTGGTGGTTTCAGCCCTTTTTGAGAGTTTGAAAAGGGGGAACAAGATCCTATCTGCAGCGGTTTTCCAGAGAATCATATGTCCTGCCTGAATCATGATGAGGTCCTAGATCAATGAAGAAGACCCGTGTAATGAATTCAGGGGGTCTGAAAAGGGATGTGTGTCGATGCATCGATGAATGGGCGAGGAGAAAAGATGGCCGATAATGTTATCCGTATCAGGGCTTTAGTTCAAATACTGGAGACAAACACTTGCATTTAGGCAGGAGTTTTGTGCGGCAATCATGTTCAACAATTCCACTGCAAGCAACACAAACAAATGATTGGTTTTCAAAGAAGATAATCCTTTTTAAAACATGCTGTCCTCTCTGAGATATAACAGTTCCATTACCTCAGCAAACTTACTTATTATAAAAGAAAGTACCTGAACTAGAATTGAGTGAACTTCTTGATTCGTGTGTGAAGTGAGGGAATACATGCCTTAAGAATGTTCAGCCAGAACTTGCAACACAATCAAAGGTTTCTAACAGAACTGCTTTGCAATTGTTTCCATAAGTTAAACTAATACGTATGCTCAGTTTGAATTGTTAAATATATTTTGCTCAACGAAAGTATTCTAAGCCAAAACCATTTTTAATTTATTTGTTCAATAGTCTACTGTTCCTTATGCTTGACTTTGCTTATTGAAATAAGGAGGCATGAATTTTATGGCTTAATAATTGCGAATAGCAAGGAAATGTTTTCATAAATGGTGAGTTTTAAATTCATTGATTGTAAATGGAGAGATTTAAGAAATAAATACATTTTGTGAATTTTGATTCCCGGATTTCTAGACACAACAACTTCATAACTGACTATAATTCCTATCTAATAACTCATGCATCTGCAATTAAAGAAAAATCAATCACTAGCGTCCTTTCATATCAACATCACCCCATAAGCACAGGGTAAAGGTGTAACAACGGAATCGCGATCGTCCTAATTTCAACTCGAAATTCCAGTCCCCTCAAAGATGTGTTGTTGGTGTTGGTGTTGGTGTTGTTGATGTTCTTATTGTTGTTGTTGTTGTTGTTGTTGTTGCTGTTGTTGTTGTTGTTGCAGTTGGTGGTGGTGGTGGTGTGTTGGTGGGGATGGGGTTGTTGCTGTTGTTGTCGTTGTCGTCGTTTCTGTTGTTGTTGTTGTTGTTGTTGTTGTTATTGTTGTTGTTGTTGTTATTATTATTCTTGCTAATTTTTTCGTTGCTGCTTTATTGAAAGGTAAAATACTACTATACTCCGCGTCGGCTATTTGTGTGCAGAGTGCTAGATTCCCTATCAGGACACAGGGGGAAAAGTAAAAGCAAGACAACAAAGTTGGACCTCATTTGAATTTGAGCCTCGCCCTTCCACTTGACAGCTCAAGTTTGTAACATACTATGCCAAGAGAGCAGACTCAGTCATAAAGAACTCTTCCAGATCTAAAGACATGGGATTTTCATGTATAACAAAACAATATCAAACAATCCCCTTTGACGTGAGAGGATCGATCTCTGGCTTCTGAGTGTGAGAACATGTCTGCTTTTGGTCTTTGGACAATCGGATTTCCTGCGTTGTAGTTTGTCATGAGGCGTGTTGATGAAGTGTTTCTTAAGCGTTCGCTGTCTGAGGACCAACGAGTGATTTTTTGTTTTCCAGGCTCGACAGTCACTGATATTTTGCTCACGACTGCAATGGTTGTTCTGTTTTTTCTGTGAAGAATTTCCTTCCTCCCTGCCCAGAACGAGTTGCGTGGAGATGGGGTTGGCTTACGAATGTTCTACTCAAAGGCTATTTGGGCTTAGATAAATAAGGGCACCCATGCATACATTCAGCTAAACTGCATTGAACAGAATGTTTATATCTCGGGGTTGCTATAAGCAACATGGCATAACAGAATGAGACAAAAAGGGAAATAACAATATACAAAAGAATTCCTGAACAAGGGCGCTGGGCAATGCCTCATTCTGGAGGGCGCTAAGTTTTCATGAAGAGGTTAAGTTTGTTGGATTTGCTGTTGTTTTTTAAATTCATTTGTGCATTCTTCTATTTGAGAAAGGGGCGTCTCGTAACAGAATAAGCCCTGGCGCCAAGAAATTCTAATGATTCTAAGTACATTTTCCGCAATACTGATACTTCGAAGTTAGCTTAAATAGTGTCGGTTCAGTTCATTTAGTATGTTTTATAGTCCTTCAGGTGCACATCGTACTGAATTCGTCCAAAGAGAAGTAAATAAGGGTACGGACAACTGAATATAACAGTCTCAGAGGCTACTCACCTTGACCGTGTAACAGAATAGAGAGCACAAACACCAGACACAGGGCTCGCTGTGTCACGTCCCGCACTCCACAAGAGAGGAACTTTGAGGCACAGGCACTACAAACGTCCAAGTACTCCATTGGTGATTTGTTTTGAGGACACAAGCAAGACGAGCTGACTTGTGGCACCTAATGGAAGTGATCTCAGCAGAATAAATATCGATTCGTTGAACTTCAAACTCAGTCTGTTGTAGCTATCCAAGGGCTGGGATACACGTACTCAACACCACGGAAACAGGTCACCAATGTCTTTGCTAACTCCTCTGAAATAAACATAAAATGGCAATGGCATATAAATGAACTCCAAACAATATCAGAAATTGTCTATAGGAATTCAAATCCTCAACTACAATAACTTACAATGCATCCTTTCTCAGAAAAAAAACATCCAGAAGTTCCGAAGCTCACTGTCAAAATTCAAAAATCGGCACTACCATTTCTTTTCGTGAAAGTATCTTGAAGTAATAGTATACTATTATCATGAACCGTTTTCCAACAGAGTTCAAACAACGCTATGAAAAAAACTTTACATCTGACTATGACACATTTTAACAGCCATGGCTTCATCTATAAGACATTTTAAGTAACATTTTTCTTCATCGGACCTTTCGATCAACTCAATTTTAAAGAGCTGACCTTTCGCTACACAGGTGACCATAATTACACGCCACGAGTCAACCTTGTGAAATGCCCCCCTCACTTTGGAACAAACAACGTGGGCATGGAACGGGAGGAATGACATTGAGACAGACGTGCAATGTTTGAACGCACACATCGGATTAGCCTTTAAATCCCTACAAGGTTAAACGCCGAACGAACGATGGGGCTCGATAGGTTGAACTGCCGTGGCGAGCCAGCTTCAATCTCCTGGTTTTTACACTCTACTGTCAAACGTGTCATAAAATACAATGGTCCTAGAATTGACGTCACAAGGGCTATTACTGATCGCTATCTCTCCCTACTTCTCTCTCTCTCTCTCTCTCTCTCTCTCTCTC